GTTTTATAGGCCACGTCACTAGATTTCGAAGTTCGTGTGTATACCCGCGTTTTTTTCTGGATGTTGAAACAGCATACGTGTCCCAAATTGAGGACATACTGGTTGGATAGTGTTTTCGTTAGCGGTCCAATCAATCGTTGGGGCTCATTTGGCGGTCCAATCAAACGTTGGGGCTCATTTGGCGGTCCAATCAGAGCTGATCTTCATGTTGTCGGCGATTCCTTATGATCCACAATCGTCCATGTAGTCCACGGTGGCATGTATGGGACCACCTTCGAAGCTTGCAAAGCGAGAATTCCAGCCGCTCACTGATTCCAAACCGCTTCCCAACGGTCCGAAATTAGACATTCCACGCATCTTCAGTCTCTCTTCGTATTCCGGCTCGTCTTTTCGTGATTTTCAATCAGTTTCCGTAGCCTTCCTGGCACTTTTGCTAATCGAGCTTGGCTTTCGATCGCGCTACCAGTTTCGACCCTTCACCATCTTCTCACGTCGACGCCGTTCAGCATTGCCGTGATCGTATGGTCAAATCGTGGAGCTTCATTACCTCGACCGTGGGAGTTTTTGCGACGTAGCGAAGCTACACCGATCTGCTTTAATTCCTCGAGCTCGTCGCGACGCCAGCTACGACGTGGCTGAAGCGACGTCGAACTCCCCGACTTGTGACGGTGAAGGTCAAATGTATCAACCTTTCACCACCACTCACCACAGAGCCTCCTCCCCCCGGTAAAGGTTTGGTAAAGGTTCGGTACAGGTATGGTAAAGGTTTTTTTTTTTTGGTACAGGTTGGTATTGGCTCTGTGGTGGGTCAGCACATTTTTCTTCACTTTGCAAAGTCGTTATTTCCGTTGCATGCCTTCTTCCCTTCCGTATACTAACTATATGTTTTTTCTACACGCAGGAGTTAATGGAGGTTGCGAGGCGTTTCGAAGATTAGAGAGGATCAACGTCCTTTGGCGTCATTCCTTGCTTATGGCGGACAACTTAGGAGAAGCCCGACGGTTGGTGAAGGTGAAGGTTAAGAGTATCATTCTCACCCTTCACACTCCTGAGCCACCCCCCTGGTTGAGGTTAGGTACAGGTTCAGGTCTGGTAAAGGTCCCCCTAAAGGTTTTTTGGTTGGTATTTGGCTCGTTCTTTCCACGTTTTTCTTCGTTTTGCATGTCTTTCTGTCCGAACTTTACTGATTCTCGTTTATTTCTTTACTTGCAGGTTTTATTCGAGGGTGTACTGCGTTTTCTGGAGGAGCAACATGTTTTGGCGTCCTGCCATACTTCATGGCGGACAACAGTGGAGAATCTGCACGGCTGGTGAAAGTTGAACGTATCAACCACTCATTCTTCACGCCACAGAGCCCCCCCCCCCCCCCCTTGGTTAAGGTTCAGGTTGGTAAAGGTGTTGGTAAAGGTGTTGGTAAAGGTCCCCCTAAGGTATTTTGGTTGGTACAGGTAGGCTCTGTGGCACTTGCACCTTTGCAGCACCGTCGGTTTCTTCATGCTTGGTTTACTGCTCATTTACTTACCTTATTCCTTTGATAACCTTGCAGGTTCTATTCAAGCCACGCTTCAGATGGTGTCAGTGGAGCACCTCGTGGCTAAGCTCCAAGGCGGGGTGAACGTACCTGCCAACAGCACCTGGCAGGTGCCTCCTCTCTGTCCACCAGCAGTAAGTTGTTCTCATCCCTCATCGTTTTAACCACTTGTTGCATGTTCGTTCGTCTGCCTCCATTGACTTGGTTTACTAACTCAAATTTGCTTCTTCACTTGGCAGGTTTGCTGCACTAAGGGATTTTAACAAGCCCAAGCATCAGGATCCATGGGATCACCATGGCCTGCTGAGGCGCCTCAACTCTCAAGCGTTGCAAGATAAGTTTCAACCTTTAGCCTTTTCCCGTGCTTTCTCGCTCGAATGTTTTTCCACTGGTAACTCCACGCTTGCTGATTCCTATCTTTGTCAAGGTGTGCTTCAACTATACAGTCACTGACTTGTTTCATATTGCCTCATGGCAGGTTCTCCAATCCAATTGCAATGAACACGCCGTGGACCCCCAAGGCCTTGCGCACCGCTGCACACTTGAGCAGGCCCAAGATCCATGGGAGCACCATGGCATGCTGAAGCGCCTCAACGCTCAAGAACCGCTCCACACTTCAATCTCCTCAACTCCAGATAAGTTTCATCCTCTACCTTCGAGCTCCTTTTCTCTTGCAAATGGCTTTATTGTGTTTATTGATTTGCTTTACTGCATGCTCTTTTTTTGCCTTCTTTTTTATCATGGACTAATGTTTGTCTTTTTTCCGCCTGCAGGTGCTAGTGGGTGGCAAGCCATGGCCTGCTAAAGCGTCTCAACGCTCTAGCACCGCTCCACACTTCAAGCCCAACCCACAGATAAGTTTCAGCCCCTACTTTCGAGCTCTCTTCTTCATGCACATAGCTTTTAATTGTTTGTTGATTTCCGTTGGTGCATGCTGTATTTTTGCTTTCTCTTGTTGATCATGGACTAATCTTTATCTTTCTTCTGCCTGCAGGTGCTTTCATGGTCGGAAGCCTGCAAGCCATGTGGCCAGTGCACAAGAGGGGGTTGAAGCCTTGAGCATTGGCTGGGGACTCGATTCCGGGCCAAACCAGACTGGTTCTGTCCCCTCCTGCCCCCACCAAGTGACAAAGCTGTCTGGCCAGCAGTGATGTCATTTGGTGGAGGTGGGGGTGAGCAGAGCCAGTCCCTAGTAGGGCACCCGCATGTCTTGGTCCTGGCAATGCTTAAAGCTCAGCCTTCCTCTCTGCCTGTGCAGTGCACTGCCAGTCCATGCGGGGGTGGGCATGGATGGCATGCCATGGAGTAGTTGTGGACCTTTGGTTGATAGGATTAGTCAGAATTACATTGGTTGAGTGTACGGTACCTCTGAATATTATTTCATTTTTATAAAAATGTACTCTAGTGTAGCCATACTAGTACTCTGAATAGGGCGTAGGATTTTAATATGAGAAATGCCTGTGCAAGTACTTTTAAAGTTACTTCTACAAACATATACTAGTCCTGTGTTCTCTGGCCTGGATCATTGAAAAATGCAAACTTTCTAGCAAAGAATATGTAGAAGAAGCACGAAATCGCATGTCACCGCATTGAAGTGCAGTGCACCCTTTCGAAACTCTCCCTTGGCTTTTACCTATCTGGTCTCAGCTCCGCCCAAACAACGAACCAGTGAGCATCAGGCAGACCAGACCTCATCCCAACAGCCTTGAACTTGGTGCGATTTATGTCCTCGCGTAGCATCTCTTGGAGCGGAAATCCTCATCCCATTCCCATTCCAAGGCGAAAACGTGAGCGAAAACAGCGAAGGGCTTGTCTATCGTCGTCTCCAGTTCCGCGCAGTGGGGATTAACCGTCATGATAGAGGAGATGATGCGGGAAAGAGAGATCGGGAGCGCCGTCGTGTGTGCCGTTGCCACCGCTTTTCAGCGTCATACCATGCTTACCTCCCGTATCCTAAATGCGCTTGATGCACTTGACACACTCAACGGCTCAGCCCCTTAGCCTCTCTTGACGGGGTACGGCCTCTCTTGACGGGGCACGGCCTCTCTTGACGGGGTACGGCCTCTCTTGACGGGGCACGGCCTCTCTTGACGGGGCACGGCCTCTCTTGACGGGATACGGCCTCTCTTGACGGGGTACGGCGTTGGTCCAAGCGACCTTCATTCACACGGTGATTGCTTCGACGGCGCTAGTTCTCCACACGCGAAGCCTCGAGTGCGCATTGGAAACAGTCAGCAGCACGCACCTCGCGCCTTGCTACCTTCGCGCCGACTCTTTCCGCGCCGATTCTTTCCGCGCCGATTCTTTCCGCGCCAATTGTTTCCGCGCGCCTCCCCCTCGTCTGCTCCCTCCCACGACGCGCGCGATGGGCGACGAGGGCTGCGACGTCGCGAGGGCGTCGCCACGAGAGCGACCTCGTCGTCACCATCGGCAGCGCGCCTTCCACGTACCCGCTGTACGCGTTACTAGCCGTGATCCGTTTCACGTGCACCACTACCTGCTTTACGGTTTGCTTTCTCCGTTTCTCAGTACGTGTTTACACCCTTGCTACACGTGGTGATGCGCTTTAGGGAATGCAACCACGCTTCACGGTTCAGACGCACTAAACTCTCCCTCCGCCTAGACTTTCCTCTCCTGTCTCCCTCCTTTCTCCTCCCTTCCCGTCCCTCCGCTCACCCTCCCTTCCCCTCCCCCCTTCCAGCCTCTCCCTGTGAACGGTGAAAGCGAGCGCGGCAGCAGCAGCGGGCGAGGGCACGGGCCCCTGGCAAGCGGGCCTCTCGTTCCCCCCTGGCGGCGCGCTCTCCTTGGTCCCCATCGCCTGCCACTGCTACGCCCGCCCCTGCCGCCTCTCTCTCGCCCCACTCCCTGTTGCTCCTGCGCTCCGCAGGTAATGATGCCCCTCCGAGGCACGAGGGGAGAGTGTGGGAGTCGCGTGTGGGGAGTGCTGGAGTGGGGAGTGCGGGAGTGAGGGAGTGCGGGACAGGAGGTGATGTAGCCGGGAGTAGAGGTGATGACCTCGTTCTATGTGCGGTACAGCCCTGCACCGTGCTGTATGTAATGTGTTCACCATTGCCGCTCTGCACCCATGCTCTCCTCATCCCCCATCTTCTCAACCCCCTCCCCCCGTTCTTATCATTCCCCCTCTTCTTATTCTCCGCCTTTCTCGTCCCCCACGTTCTCACCTTCCTTCTTTACATCCCCCCTCTCCTCCTCCCTTCTCTCCCCCTCCCTCCGCCAGCATCGCTGCTGGAGATGAACGCGTGTGTGTCCAGCCACACACTGCCACTGTTTCTCAGGCGCCTTAAACCTCCCTCCCCCCCGCTCTCTCCCCTTCCCCCTCTCCCATCTCCCCCCTTCCCCCTCTCCCCCCTTCCCCCCCCCCTCTTCCCCCTCTCCTCCCTTCCCCCGCTCTCCCCCTTCCCCTCTCCCCCCTTCCCCGTCTCCCCCCTTCGCCTCCTCCCGCTGGCAGCAAGGCTGCTGGAGATGAGCGCGTGTGGGTCCAGCCACGCACTGCCACTGCCGCAGCGCAGCTGCCAACGCAGCGCCTGCACCACCTCCTGCAGCACTGCCCGCCCTGCCTGCACGTGCTGTCACCGTATGTCGGGAATGGGAAGGGGGGGGGGGGGGGGGAGGGATGGGATGGGATGGGATGGGATGGGATGGGGTGGGATGGGATGGGATGGGATGGGATGGGATGGGGTGGGATGGGATGGGATGGGATGGGATGGGATGGGATGGGATGGGATGGGATGGGATGGGATGGGATGGGATGGGATGGGATGGGATGGGATGGGATGGGATGGGATGGGATGGGATGGGGTGGGATGGGGTGAGATATGGAAAGGGGGATGTCCATACTGTGCCTTGGCATGTGATGCGCATCTGTCCGTTTCACATGCGTATGCCTCTTCATGTCCTTTCTCGTGTGGACTGTTGACAACTCCTCACCTCCTCTTGCATGCACGCCCGCACATTCCTTGCTCCTCTTTTCACCACTGCCTTCACTCTCATCCCCCACCTATCGCCTGCCACCAACCGTCTCCCATGTGCCGCCATGGTAATCTCCCATCCTAACAACCCCCGTCTTTCCCTCCTCACCTCAACTCTCTCTTCTTCCCCACCCCCCCCACACACACACATCAGCTGCAGCGTTCTGCCACCATCCAACGAAGCCAGGGCTGCACGGGCTGCTGCTGCTGACGCTGCTGCCTCTCTGCTCATCGCTCGCAGCAAAGGTACTAATTTCGTCGTCTAAGCATGTAGAGAAATCATATGCTCAGCTGGTACTCCCTCTCCTTCCACTCCTGCTGCGCATGGCACCCCATGCTGCTCCCACCCTTCTCCTGCCGTCCCGCTATGGCCCTAACTTATTCACCCCACGGTGTGTGGCAGGCGGCAGCCCTGCTTGCTGGCCACGCCGGAGGGGTGAAGGCAGCGAGTTGCCAGGCAGCAGGGCGCCCCTCCATGGCTGCACGCACCGACCGCTTCCCACACGCTCTTCCCATGACATGACATGAGTACCTCCGCTCCCCCTCCTCTGCCTCCTCCATCTCCTGCTTCTGTAGCTTCTTGCTTTCATGCACCTCACACCGCTCTAGCTGCCTGTAGCACACCCTAGGGCCCCCCAGGTGACAAGTAGCGACTCCAAGGTGAGGTATACCCGCCACAGCAAGGTATCCCTATGGGTGTGCGCATCAGGTGAGCTCATCCCCGCACCCTCATTCATGTATGCTTACTTTGGCATATCCCTCTTTCCAGGGATGTGCCCTCTCTGCTTCCACTCACTTGCACTTGTTTCAACCCATCCTCCCTCCCCACCAGGTACTTCGGCTGTCCTCTCTGCCCTCCACTCCACGCTGCTTCTCTTGCTGCGCGGGCTGTCAGTGCCACTGGTGGACTGAGGAGCTCACGGCTGTGTGCAAGGTAAGACAGCAAGCCTCTCACCTCAGCCTTTCGTGGCTTTGCATTTGCTTCTCGCCTTTCGCTTGCTTTCTCGCTTTCTGCTTTAGCTGCACGTGCTGCTTGCCTTCCCTTGCTCATCCAGTTCTTCCACCTATTAGCTAACTTATTTCCTCTCCCCCTCCCCCCTCACAGGTGCCCCCTGGGGGTGGTGGTGGTTCTGGCTGATGCTGCCTGGTTCTGTTGTTGGTTGCGGTGGTTGTGGTGGCGGTGCGGTGGTTGCGGTGGTGGTGGCGGTGGTGGTGGGGGAGGCGGGGCGGCAGTGGGGGGTGTGAGTCAGTGTCAAGCCTGGATTCCAATAGCTGCGCGTTAAGGCATAATGGTGTTAGAATCTAGCAGCAGGAATGGATGAACTAACAGGATGCAGGAGTACAAGTAGTAAACCCTAACTAGGTTGTACCCCATATGGGCTACCCCACTACAGCCTAGACAATATGCAGCACATATAGTTTGACACACCCCCATAGGCAAAGTGGGGGAGAACAAGGGGTCACACGACCAGTCAAGAGAAGCAAAACAAGCTCAGGGTGGATCACAACGTCACCACGCATTCTGAGCACAAGCAAAGGGCCACTGGGCCAGTTCACATGCAGAAGTATATATATATGCAGCAATAACAGTACAGTGATGGCTACCTAGCAAGAGCCAGCATGCATATATATATATATATATGTACAGATCACAGTACAAGCAGAGACTACAGCAAGTGTGGAAACGTAGGCACAAGGCCTAACAGAGTACAAAAGCGCTGATGATCACCAGACGGAAGTGCCTTGGTGAATATGTCAGCAGTGTTGGCCCGAGTGGCCACGTGGCGAAGACGAAGCTGGCCTCGCTGCTGCAACTCTCGAGCCAGGAAGTACCGCAGAGCAATGTGCTTCGTTCTGTGCTCCAGTCTGTGCTCCTCACACAAGGCAATGGCGGCCTTGTTGTCAACGTACAGCACTGGAGGAGAACGAGGCTGCTCTCCCAAGTCAGTCAGCAGGTAGGTGAGCCAGCGTAACTCCTGTGCAGCCATGGCGGTGGCGTAGATCTCAGCCTCACAACTGGAGCCGAGAACTGAAGACGAGCGTGTAGAACGCCACGAAACTGAACCAGAGCCAAGGCTGAAGGTGTAACCCTGTGACGACCGCTGAGTAGCCAGGTCGTCAACCCAAGAAGCGTCTGAGTGCCCAGTGAGGACAACTGGGCTCGTCCCTCCAAGCACTAGCCCCATGCCTGATGTGCTGCACAAGTAACGCAGTACCCTCTTAGCAGCAGCCATGTGCTCAGGTCGGTGCCGACCAGGAGCCACGTAGCGAGCCAGGAGACCAAGAGGGTACGCGAGGTCAGGTCGAGTGCAAGTCATCAGGTACATGAGGCAGCCGACTAGCTCTGGGTAAGGACCACTCGGCTCTACGGACTCGTCCGAAGGTGGAGCTGAGAGCGTGTGACCTGTAGCCAGAGGAGTGGCCTGTGCTGAAGACCAGGTGAAGCCGAAGCGCTGAAGGACCTGCTGCACCATGTGTGACTGAGTCAAGGTGATGGTGCGACGTGCTCTGTCTCGGGTGATCTGCAAGCCAAGGTAGCTGCGCAGCTCACCCAAGTCTGTGCACGTGTGTCTCTTCTGCAGCTCCGACTTCACGTGGGCGAGAGCCTCAGTGTCAGCAGTGGCAAAAACCAAGTCGTCGACATACACGAGGATGTAGAACGGCGGCAGGGAAGTGTCGGTGCGCAGAAACAGCGACGGGTCAGCAGTAGAAGGCGCAAACCCAAGAGCCGCAAGCGTAGTCCTCAGTGTGTCGTGCCACTCACGTGGCGCCTGGCGGAGACCGTAGACCGGCCGCCGGAGGCTCCACTGGGTACCAGGAGGGAACGACCCAGTGAAGCCCGGGGGGCGGCGCAGCCAGATCTCCTCGTGCAGGCTACCCTGCAGGAAAGCTGTGCTGAAGTCAAGAGAGTGAAGCTCGTAGTCACGGTGAGCAGCAACGTGCAGCAGCACCCGAAGAGTGGTCATCTTCGGAGTGGGGGAGAAGGTCTGGAAGAAGTCAACTCCCTCTCGCTGACTGAAGCCTCGAGCCACGTAACGCGCCTTGAAGACAGGCGGAGAACCCGGCGGCCGCTTCACCCTGAAAATCCACATGCCACTGACGATGTTCGCCCCAGGTGGGGGAACCTCGTCCACGTAGGTGCCTGTGGACTTCCAGGAAGCCATCTCTGCGTCCATGGCTGCCTGCCACTGAGAGGAGTAGGGACCCTCTATCGCCTCTGCGTAAGAGCGCGGAGTCGGGATGTCTGGTGCATCCGGGTCTCCCTCAGGGGCAAGTAGCGAGGACACAAGATGAGGTAAAGCAGCAGCAAGGCACTGGAACTCCTCCTGCCTGTCCTCAAGGACGTCCGTGCTAAGAGCACACTCACCCCCGACGGACGGAGGACAGACAGACTCAGACTCAGTAACAAGACTGGCAGTGAAGTCTAGACGACAGGCAGCAGCAAAGTCAACAAGCTCAGCGACAAGAGCAGACGCAGCAGCAGACTCAAACGACGGGTCAGTGACAACTGTGGCTAGTAGACGCGTGACAGTAGGGTGCTGAGCACGAAACCGGTCAGACGCAGGGTCCGGAACGTCAGGCAAAGAGGACGCAGGAGGAGACGGCAGAGGAACAGGCTGCGGAACAGAGGAAGGACGACGGACTACGAGGTGCGCGCTGGGGACAGCCGGCGGACGCGAACGAGGAACACGAGGACCGGTACGACCAGGACGAGCAGGCGAGACAGGACGCGACGCAGGCTCACGACGCACAGCAGGACTACCAGTCAGCTCAGCGTAAGGAGAAGGAGCAGGCAGCGGCGAGCCAGTCTGTAACGGAAGACCAGTAGACGACGGAAGAGTAAGAACCTGACGAAGAACAGAGGCAGACGGCGGCAGAGACGACGGAGACGGCGGAGCGAAGAACAGTCGTGTCGGCGCAGCTGCACCAGAACCAGCAGCTCCAGCAGCTCCAGTGCCTCCAGCAGCTCCAGTACCTCCAGCAGCTCCAGTACCTCCAGCAGCTCCAGAAGCTCCAGGCCCAGAGCCGACACCTCGAGTCCCAGGGTCTCCAACCTCTGTGTCTCTAGCAGCAGCACCCCCAGAACCAGCACCTCCAGTCCCAGGGTCTCCAACCGCAGGGTCTCCAGCAGTAGCACCCCCAGAACCAGCACCTCCAGCTCCAGGGTCTCCAACCTCAGCGTCTCCAGCAGCAGCACCCCCAGAGCCAGCACCTCCAGTCCCAGGGTCTCCAGCCTCAGTGTCTCCAGCACGAGCCCCTCCAGAACCAGCAACTCCAGCACCTCCAGTAGACAAAGGACCAGCACGACTCCGAGCTCCAGCAGCGCGACGCTGACGGCGACCGTACCAGTCCTGCAGCTGCTGTGGGGTGAGAGGCACACGGGGACGAAGGCGGCCACTCCAAGGAGACCGCGCAACAGCAGACTCAGAACCCTCAGCGCCCGCACCCCCAACGGCTCCAGAACCTCCGGTGTCAGTACCCTCAGCACCAGTACCTCCAGCGACTCCAGAACCTCCAGCGCGAGCACCCTCAACAGCTCCAGGACCTCCAGCTCCAGCGCCACCAGGACTAGGCCCTCCAGCAGCTCCTGAACCTCCAGCGCCAGCACCCTCAGTAGCTCCAGAACCTCCAGCGTCAGTACCGCCAAGCTCAGCACCCCCAGACCCCTCACACGCAGGCTCAGCACCACCAGGCTCTACACCCTCAAGCTCCGCACCCTCAGGCTCAGTACCCCCAGACTCAGCACCCCCAGGCTCCGCACCCCCAGGCTCAGCACCCCGAGCAGGACCACTCGCAGGAGGACCTGAGTCACCAGTGACCTCAACCGGCGCAGTCAAGGGAGGAGGGTCTACCTGAGAAACACCTGAAGGAGCAGGACCGGGAGCGGGGAGGGGGTCTACCTGGGGAGCACCTGGAGCAAGGAAGAGCGGCGGGGGGGGGAGCGAGGCAGTGCGGTAGGGGAAGAGACGGTAAAAGGGAACCGACTCGTCGAACGTGACGTCCTGAGACGCAAAGACACGGCGCGAGGTGGGGTGGTAAAACTGCCAACCAGGCGCGTCAGGGACAAAGCCAAGGAAGACACAGGGAACAGCGCGGGCGGAGAGCTTGTCCGCGGTGGTATCGCGGACAAAGGCACGAGCACCCCAGACCCGAAAACGCGACGCATCGCCAACCTTCCCCGTCCACAGCAGTGTGGGCGAGGTCTCCGGCAAGGAGACACGGGGCCAGAGGTTGAGCTGATGCGC